AATCCCACGAACCATGAGATCGTGACCTGAGCAAAAATCAAGAGTCAGATGCTCAACCAACTGCAAACCCCTGTTATGTCAAAGGAGCTTCTTTTGTGTGACGTTAAGATGTGGGGGAAGGGGAAATGTTGTACAGTCCCAAGACTGAGTCTCGATCTTTTGGGGAGCCTGTGCTACTTGGGCGGTGGGCTTCACCAGAGGCCATATTGTTTCTTTGCCCCCTTAGGTGAGACAGGAAGGTTAGAGGGGGGCTGGTTGAGAGGGGGCCCCTCTGGTGTTGGGTATTTTCCTCCCACAGGTCGGTTAGTATCAGGGAAAACCCACATTGGTCAGACTCTGGCAAAAAGTTTCTCTTGAAGGCAGGCCATCGTGAAGGAGAACGGAGCCCTGGGGGCATGTTTCAGACCAGCCGGTTTCCCTTCCCCCTGACAAAAGCAGGAGGGGATTTTTTTCTTTGATCTTTACTCTGAGAGCCTGGTGGGGTTCCTGGCAGAAAAACGCAGGAACGTGTAGGGATTCCTCCAAGGTTTGGCCTGCAGGAGTTTTAATCTCCCAAAATGGTCCAAAACCCCCGTCAGCAGCAACTGACCAATTGCCCCTGAAGGATTCCTGCCTGATGCTGGCTCCAAGCTGACGTGGGATTCTGGGGATCTGCCCGTCTCTCCCACCCACCAAAGGCCGGTGGTTTGCCCTGTGACCTCAATTCTCGGGTATGTGTATGCTTTTATGTCTAGCATAAAAATTGGAGGTTTATGTGCCGTGATCCAATCTAAGAGCTGTTTCCCCTTAACTGGCAGCTTTCGGACCACCTGCTATTATGCGAGACCTACTAGTTATTCGTCATACCATCATACTTGGGTTGTTTTCTGGTTTTGTTGCTTTTTAAAATTTTAAAATTTTGCTTTCACTATACAGGTTTTCTTCTTTCGTTTTTTTTTTTTTTTTTTTTTTTTTAACGTTTATTTATTTTTGAGAGAGAGAGAGACAGAGCACAAGCACAGGTGGGACAGAGAGAGAGAGGGAGACACAGAATCTGAAGCAGGCTCTAGGGTCTGAGCTATTAACACAGAACCCGATACGGGGCTCAAATCCACGAACCACGAGGTCATGACCTGAGCTGAAGTTGGACGCTCAACCGACTGAGCCATGCAGGCACCCCATACAGTGTTTCTGGCTTTGTTAAAGGTCATATATTTTAAAAATAGCATTTTAATAAGGGAACAAATAAAATACGGAGAAGATTTTTTACAAACACACACAAAAGACTACTTTAATAGGTAAAGAATCTTGTAAACCAATAAAAAGGTCAGTGACAGAGGTGAAAATGGGCAAGAGATACGAACAGACAGTTTACAGAAAATCAACACAAAGGCTCTTAGCTTAAAAGATCCTCAATTCACTCATGGCAAAAGCAGTGAAAGTAAAAATCTCATCTGAGACTTCAATTTCTATCTCTCAGAGAGGCAGAGATCAAAGTCTCTGTCAACATGCTGGGCTGGACAGACCATGGGGGAACGGTCATTCTCACTGTGCTAATCTGAATCCTCTGAGAAGCAGCTATCCGAACAGGATAAAATGCACAAGAATTTGTATCAGGGGAACTGCCTACAAGAGGAGAGGGGGAAGGGGCTGAGTTAAGGGGGGAGAGCCATCAGACCGCAATACGAGTCTGACCCTAAGCCAAAGACAGGGGGACGGAGCCTTGCAGTCTCTGGAGGGTTCAGCAAGGCCACCGGGGCATCTGGAACCCAAGCCGGCCATCGGCAGAGCCTGACTCTCCCAGGAGTGGGTTTGCCTGGTGCCCCTCTGCTCACACGGATTTTCTCCTTCACCAAACTCTCCCCTGAGCTCCTTGTTTAACTAGGCCTGACTTCGAACGTTGTGCTCATGTCTGCATTGTCCAATTTTAGAAGAACTCTGCTAAGTCAGTTTATCCGGGTCCCCCTCCCTTTGATAGCTGATCACCCTCCATATCTGGTTGGGTTTGCTATCCAGGTGGTGTCTGGTCGCCCAGCCCGCCTTCAGCAAAACACAGGAGGGGACCAGGAAAGTGGAAGGCGCCATATCTTAGAAAAAGGAGTTAAAATTCCAGAGAGGGAGACAAGGCCGTCCCAGGATGACGGTGGATAGGGGTGCCAGACGGCAGCTGCACGGTGACCCAAGAGCAACCTGGCTGACCCAAGTGGGTCAGAAGACTCCAGAAGAGGAACTTGGTGGATATCTGATGGGACATTAGATTGGTTTTTTAACTAGAAGAACATTTTGGGATTAAACTGATGTAAGTAACAGAAAACCAAGCAAGCTGACAACCAACAAAAAGACAAGGAGACACGATGGTTGTACACGATGTGATTCAGCCATGAAGAACCTTCACTTAGCCCTTTCAACCTGCTTTTATCTGAGTCTATCCTGCTTTGCACCACGCCGTGTTCTGAAAACCATCGGGAATACTGTTTGAAAGCAGGTGAGCTACATTTGGGTCCCGCCTATTCATATCGTGAGTTGTTCCGTTAGACTACTGGACTCAAGCCAGTCTACCCAGCACACCCTGGACTCCAGGGCAGAATCCTGGCTCTGCCATGAGCTCTGAGTGACGAGGGGCAGGCTGCTGAATCTGTGAGTCGGTCCCCTTGACTGTGCCATGGGGATGACAGACGGGACACCTCACAGGAAGTCGCCTGAAGTTAACACATACGTGCATTAGTGTGTCCTAGGTTGGCATGAAGCCGTTGCTTTGGGACCATGGTCAGGGGAAGGCTTCAGGCAGTGTGGACCAGTGGGAACCCGGTGCTCTGGGTCTAATTTGGAACAATTCCCTTCTGGTGACGTGATTCTGGGTGAGCATCCCTATCCCACTGTCCCTACCCCTCCCAGGTCTCCCTCTTCTTCTTTTTTTTTAAGTTTATTCCTTTAGTTTTGAGAGAAAGAGAGTGCAGGGAAGGGGCGGAGAGAGAGGGAGACAGAGAATCCCAAGCAGGCTCCACGCTGTCAGCGCAGAGCCTGACGTGGGGCTCGAACTCACGAGCCGTGAGATCATGACCTGAGCTGAAATCAAGAGCTGGACGCTCAATGGACCGAGCCCCCCCAGGTGCCCCTCCTCTCTTCTCTACCACAGGCTCCTGCTCAGTTTTCAAGCCGAATCCCCACCTTGTCTCCTCCATGGACCTCTCTGGCAATCCCATTCAATGGTACATTTGCTTCTGGAATATTCCACAACCACCCACAAAATCACCATGTCGCCTTCACCACGGAAGACTGAAAAATCTGTTCTCTCCCAAGTATAACAGTTCTTGGTGGGGAAGGAGGGGCTTGGCCCCCAGGAGACATGCGGCCGTGTATAGAGACACGTATGGCTGTCACAGCTGGACGGGGTGGCCTATGGTATCCAGCAGCTGGACGTCTGGGATGCTACTGAACCCACGCCACAGACAAGGTCATTGGTCCACAGGGTCAGTGGTGTTGAGGTGGAGAACCCTGAACTGTGACATCAGCTCCTTGAGCACAAGAGCCATGTTTACTGTCACTATTCTGCCACCGAGTGCCCCACCCGGGGGGTTTGTGTGAAGGAATGTTTATCGATAAGCCCCCTGGGGCTGAGTAAAGCGGGCCTTGGGTGAGTGAGGGACCCCCAAAAGGCAGTGTGCTTTCCATCCAGTCCCCGTATGGAATGGGGAATGTGCTGAGACTAGGCAAGGGGGGGTGGGGGGTGCCGAGTCTACGGCTCGTGCCCTGGCGTGCTACGCTCCTTGGGAGGATGAGCTAAGTGCAGAGATGACGAATTAAAAATTGGAGAGGGGCGTGCATCTCTCGCAATGAACCAGCCAGCAACGAGAAAGGAAGGCGAGCCCAGTTTTGGGAAAAGGGTGGATGATTGGGAAAGACTTCCTCCTCCGTGTTGGGGAAAGCCCACGCTCTCTCTCCTTTGTAGTAACTATTCATGGCCTAAGCATCCTTAAGCTAGGTGTTACGGATTGCGCTGTGGCCTCTCAAAATCCACATGCTGATGTCCTAGCTCTCTGTACCCCAGAACGTGACCTTCTTTGGAGGAAGGGCCTTCCAAGAGGTGACTAAGTTAACATGAGGCCATTAGGGTGGTCCTACTTCATATGACTGGTGTCCTTTTTAAAGGGGGGGAATTAGGACACACACACACACACACACACACACACACACACACACACACACACAGAAGACAGCTCTTTGCAAGCCCAGGAGAGAGGTTGGGACAGACTCCCCCTCACAGAGGGAACCAGCCCTGCCCACACCTTGACCTTGGGCGACCAGCCTCCAGGACTGTGAGAGAATGAATAAATGGCTGTTGTTTAAGCATCCGGTCCGCGGTGCTTTGGTAGGGCCACCCGGGCAGAGGCAAACACTAGGCCAGGGCAGTTCTAAGCGCCGAGATTTATTTAAGCTATCGTGGGTCAGGCCGTCAGGAAGGAGGAGGTGTGGGCCGCCAGGAGAAACGACATCTACTTTAACCCACGAGGGTGAGGGCCATAAAAACAAAAGGGTGGCTCAGTCGGTTGACTTCGGCTCAGGTCATGATCTCACAGTCCATGAGTTCGAGCCCCGCGTCAGGCTCTGTGCTGACGGCTCGGAGCCTGGAGCCTGCTTCGGATTCTGTGTCTCCCTCCCCCTCTGCCCCTTCCCTGCTCACGCTCTGTCTGTCTCTCTCAAAAATAAATAAACAGTAAGAAAAAAATTTTTTAAAGAAGGAAAGCAAGATGGCATCTGCTGAATTCTGGCATGTCTATGGCTTTGGAGGGCTGTGCCACGTGTTCGAAGCAGGGCACAACATGGAAGCTCGGCGCTGTCCCACCCGCAGGCAAATAAGAGCTCAAGGCGGGGACACCCCCCACCACGGGACACAGCAGCTGTCGCCCCCATTCCCGCTTGGACTCCCAGCCTTTGCCTTTCCCTCTGAGGGCACGCATGCCACGGGGCTGGCCCCGGGGAAGGGAAGGCATCACGTGGGTGTCCTCATCACGGGTACTCACAGCTCGTCTTCAAAGCAGATTTTAGCATATTTGTCCCTGCCACCCCCGCTGAGCAGGCGGTAGGCGTAGGTGTCCGAGGGGCACGGGGTCCAGTGGTCACATTTCTGCCTTTTAGGGGCTGGGGCTGCAACAAACAGGAACATAACGGTTAGCATCTTGCAGGTACTTGTCAAATGGACCCACTACTCGACCGTGAGCAGTGGCCCTTCGATCCCAAGACTCCACCCTGGCAAGTCCCACCTGGAGTGGGGAAGGGAGTCACCAACTTTGCATTGGCAGCGTCCGAAATCCCCCTAGAGCTACAGCTGGTTTAACCTGCATGTGTCTTTTTTTTTAATGTTTATTTATTTTTGAGAGACAGAGAGACGGAGCACAAGTTGAGGAGGGGCAGAGAGAGGGGGAGACACAGAATCGGAAGCGGGCTCCAGGCTCCGAGCTGTCTGCACAGAGCCCGACGCGGGACTCGAACTCACAAGCCGTGAGATCGTGACCTGAGCCGAAATCGAAGCTTAACCGACTGAGCCACCCAGGCGCCCCTGATCTGTGTTTGTCTTAAAATAACAAATCTGCACAAGGGAGAGGATGCTGGGCAGGCATAACAATTTCAGAAGGTGAGGGAGCCCCTGCCCAGGGCCGGTTCCCTCACTGACATTCTTGGCACACAATATGGAAAGAAAGCTCTCTTGGGTCGAAGGGGGCTGGTGAGCAAAGCAACAGCCATCTATGGAGCATCTACCCAGCTTCTGCATTTACACACCCTGACACACACACACACACACACACACACACACACACACACCTGCTCTGGCCACGTGACCCCTTTCCTTCCACATGAGCCTGAGACACTGAGTTTTTCCGCCAGGGGGCGACGAGGTCGGCGCTGGCAGGCCATAGAGATGTCTCCCCAGCACCCCTACCTCACAGGGGCAGCACCCGAGGAGCCCAGCTGGCCTTGGGACAGCCCCGCGCTCCTCCCTCTGCTGGGTGCCATGTGGCCGTCCCTACCAAGTGCCCTTCTCTGTCTGCCGTCGTCCACAGAACCCGCCGTGCTGTGCCCAGTTCAGATTTAAATCCCAAGTCCCCCTCTCGCTTGTCCAGTTTGACCAGAGGTGTGATCCGTGCCTCTCTGACTGAGGAAGCACGGCTGTGACAGCCAGGCGGGTGGTGAGGCCCTGGGAGGCCCTGCTGGCGGGAATCCGGGTGCAGACACGCACGGGGAAGGTCCGGAGCCGGACGGGCAGAACTGCTCGGGGAGCACAGGGTTAGGTGCCCCGGCTGGGGATGGGGGCACACAGAGCTCTCCAGGGAGCGCGTGCTCCATCCACATCTTCCCCTCCCTCCTCGCCTGCCCCGCCCCTGAGACCTCCCCGCTGCCCAGCTCTCTGTTCTCTTTTCTTTCTCTTGGCCCTCAGCTTATCCCCCAGTCCCCTTCCCCCAGGAGACGGTGACTGTCTCCTCTCCGCCGTGCTCCCAGCCCCTGGGTGGGATGTGGTAAACGCAGCGGCTCTACTCTTAGTTGACTGACTGAGTGGGCATCTGCACCCCCCGGGTGGGGGAGAAATCTCCTGACTTCAGAGACGCCGAACTCTGTCCCCACCCTGCGCCCCATGCGAAAGCCGCGAGGGACCGTAAGGCTTTCTGGACATGTGTGGCTGCAGGTCCCGGTCCACCTTCACCAACCTTCCTTCCTATTGAGTCTACCTTTTAACACAAGAAAGGACCGTGGGGTTTTTTACCTTTCCTTGTTTAATTTCTGCCGGAGAAAAATAAAGTGAAAGAAAAGGAAAACAGTCCCCATGTTTTCACTCTAAATAATCTTGAGACTCTTTTCGGCGTATCTTCCTCCAGACTTTTCTATGCATGCAGAGGGCATCTGCAAAGTTGGTAAACATAGGTTATATATATTCAAGCAGTACGTTACTTCCATAAGTGTTCACATAATGTACTTAATACATTTTTTTTCCCAATCTCTAAGTTTAAAGCGAGGGGTCCAACCATGAATGTGAAAAAGTGCCAAAAATACAGCATCTTCTCTGTGTCTCTGGATTTGGGGCACTACAGTATTTATTTTAGCTCTGTTTTTCTTCCAATTTAATAAGAATACCCATTACTTCAAAGTTAGAGGTAATTTCCCTAAAAACACACCGGGCATAGTATTTGAAAACGTAACATACTGTTTGTGAAATGTCCGGGGGGGGGGGGGGGGGGGGTTTGGTAGCTCAGTCAGTTAAGCATCTGACTCTTGGTTTTGGCTCAGGTCACGATCTCACGTTTCGTGGGATCGAGCCCCGCACCAGGCTCTGCACTGATGGTGCAGAGTCTGCTTGGGATTCCTTCTCTCCCTCTCTCTCTTCCCACTTCTGTGTGTGCGTCTCCGCGCGCGTTTCCTCTCTCTTTCTCAGAATAAATAAATAAATAAACATTTAAAAAATAAAATAAAAGCAGGTGTGCCCTGTCTCCTGGCGTGCAGACATCCTGTGTATACAGCCCACCCGGAGAGGATATTCTTGAACGGGGATCCACATACATCCTACCGGGTACCTGCCTTGCCTTAACGTCGGTGTCCCTGTCCCCTTAACAAGCACACAGACTCGCTCCCTCGTGCGCGGACCCTGCTGTTCCCCACACAACTGGAACAAGAGTCACCGAAGCAGCCCTCTGCTCTCAGAAAAGGACATCACCCCAGGCTGTAGGAGGGCCCTGGCCATGTGGTCCTCTCAACCTAGAGCTGAGAAGGACCTACGTGTGTCCTGAACGCACTGAGCACGCTGACAGGAGTGCCGTGTTGACTGACGGAGGTGGCCAGTGTCCCGTGTGCCCAACGGCCACATTGTGCCCCCTGGGAATGTGGAGACAGAACGACAGCAGATGAGTACAGTGATGGCAAGGGTTAGAGGAAAAGGGATTTTGGATTGTTCTAGAGCCAGGAGCCGGGACTCCACCTGGGAGAGAGACCTGGTGAGGGTCAGGAGGAAACAAAGGGCTGGGTGGGGCAGTGAGGGCTGGGTCCCAACCTGAGCTGTTCCTGTTCTCCTGTTGCTGTCCCCTCTGCCCCGCCTGGCTGGGGCTCGGGGACACGGGGACACGGACAAGGTGACTGGCGCAGCAGGGCAAGCACAGTACAGACTTGACCCGCCCATCCCCTCCCGCCCTCTCACCCCAGGCCTGACGCTGGAGTTTCCCAGCCGGGCCGTCCTTGGGAGATGGGGAGGAGGGCTCCCATAAGGATGTTCTCCTGTGGCCTCCTCCTCCCCTGGGGTCAGCAGCATGACCCGACTTGCTGTCTGCACGGCGGCCAGCTCCCCTGGGGGCCGGGTGGGCTGGGAGCAGGGCCCCACGCTTTGCCGGGAGTGCCACGGGCCGGTCTTCCAAACCTGTGGCCCCGCCACTCACAGGCCCTTGCAAAATGCAGGTGCTGCTCGTGTAGATGTGTGTGGGTGCGTTTTCTAGAAGGGAGGCGTTGGTTTTCATCGGATTCTCCAAGGAGAATGTGGTTCTTGTGACCAAAGTGACGTGGAGATGCTGTTTTCTCACAGGGCCTGGGGACGGTTGTGTGGCATTTTAAAAAGGTTTTCTGGGGACTCCTGGGGGGCTCAGTCGGTTGAACGTCCGACTTCGGCTCAGGTCATGATCTCACGGTTCATGAGTTCGGGCCCCGCATAGGGCTCTGTGCTGATGGCTCAGAGCCTGGAGCCTGCTTCGGATTCTGTGTGTGTGTTTCTCTCTCTGCCCCTCCCTCGCTCTGTCTCTCTCTCTCCCTCAAAAATAAATAAACACTAAGAAAAATATTTTTAAGGTTTTCTTAACCTTCTACCCATTCCCTAGAAGCACAAAATACCATTACGTGAACAAAGATCGTATTCGTTATTTGGAGTGGGGGTGTGGAAAGACAGATACATCGTCTCAGAAGACAGAGCTCTGTCCAAACCCTGCCTCTTCCCCACCATGCTCCCCAACCAGGTTCACTCCTTGACAAATTCACAGAGTCTGACAACACAGATAGGTATTCAAAAAATACCTGTTAAATACCCGACACTGTGTTACATCTAGGTCCTGGGCACTTTTCCTGAAACTCATTCCCCAAAGGCTGAACAGAAAAGCCCTTGTGAGCACCCAGAAGCTGACGCCCAGCCAGCACAAACAGCCAGCCTGCTGGTCAGTATCCTGCTTATGGGTCTCCCAAAAAACCTGCTTGTTGTTCTAAGTGAGACCCGATGTCCTGATGGGCGGTGTGGTTCCCACACAGCTGGCCTCCTGCTGGGAATTTCAGTCCAGAAATCATTCTCTTGCTGAGGGAAGTCTACCTTAGTTCTTATCCGTACATTAACTAAAGCAAATATAGGTTCTTAGGCTCCACCCTGAACCCAGATTTTTAATTTCCTGGAGCAGGGTCCAGGAACCTGTCTTCCTGAAGTACTTCCTGATTTGGGAACCATGGCTACATTCACCCCTTTAAATGAGGAAGGTGATTCCAGAAATGCGATCCTGCCGTGTGCTCCAGGCAGAGAGGAAGGGTGCTCCCGCGCGTGCGCTGAAGGCATTTCAGCCATGTCAACTCGCCTCATTGTTCTATAGGAGATGAAAGTCCGGTCCACAAAAAGCAAAGCCCAGAAGGCACCCAAAGAGGGCTGGTGTCTCTCATAATCAGTGATAATGATTTCTCAGATGCCCCAAGGGCGGTGACAAGTGCCAGACGCTTGGCACACACACCGGTTCACCTGTCTCAGTGATGCCAATGCAGAAAGATGCTGAACCCCATGGGGAGACTGTGGGCACACCGCCGTGTCACCTCCACCAGCTTCTGTCCCCATGTCCCCCCAAAGGGAGTGGCATTGCACCTTCACTGAGGGGGCATGGGATTAGAAAGCAGGAAACGCAGCTGATCCCGGAGGACACAGCACCCTGGAAGGCAGGGTTGATTTTGGAACTGGAAAGAGCCTCAGACGTAGACCGCATTTACAATGTCCCCTCAGTGACAGAGGAGGGATCTCGAAGACACTGACAACTAGTTAAGAGCAGAATCAGAAGTAGCTTTTCAGGGTACCTGGGTGGCTCAGTCAGTTGAGCGTCTGACTTTGGCTCAGGTCATGATCTCTCAGTTTGTGAGTTCGAGCCCTGCGTCAGGCTCTCTGCTGCCCACACAGAGCCTGCTTCGGATCCTCTGTCCCCCTCTCTCTCTCTGTTGTCCCCTCTCTTCCCCACCCCCGTTTATGCTCGCGCGCTCTCTCTCTCTCTCTCTCTCTCTCTCAAAAATAAATAAAGGTTAAAAAAAAAAGTAGCTTTTTCAGGGGCACCTGGGTGGCTCAGTCAGTTGACCGTCTGGCTCTTGATTTCAGCTCGGGTTATGATCTCACGGTTCGTGGGTTCGGGCCCCGCATCGGGCTCTGGGCTGACAGTGTGGAGCCTGCTTGGGATTCTCTCTCTCCCTCTCCCTCTCCCCCTCCTCCGCCCCTTCAAAAATAAATAAATAAATAAACATTTCTTAAAAAGTACTTTCTCGGGGCACCTGGGTGGCTCAGTCGGTTAAGCGTCCGACTTTGGCTCAGGTCATGATCTCATGGTCCATGAGTTCAAGCCCCACGTCAGGCTCTGTGCTCACAGCTCAGAGCCTGGAACCTGCTTCAGATTCTGTGTCTCCCTCTCTCTCTCTGACCCTCCCCTGTTCATGCTCTGTCTCTCTGTCTCAAAAATAAATAAAATTAAAAAATTAAAAAAAAAAAAGTAATTTTTCTGGCTTTTTTGTGCAATGGTAGCCATTTAGCGGTCATCAGCTCCTCTCACCTCGGCTGAGAATCTAGGAAGGCAGCTCACCACGGCTGATTTGCCTGGCTTGGTCCCCTCTCGCAAGGGTGCCTAAGAAAATGATTCGACGACCTCGTATCTGGAGTATACGAGAGAAAACTCCAACAGGATCCTCCTTCCACTTGCTGTCTCCTGAAACTGACCTTCGCGGCCTGGGGTTGCAAGCTGTGTGTGGGGCACGCGGGGCCTCCCGCCAGATGCACCCCTCCAGTGACGTACAAATTCTTCCACGGACACTTACTAAAATACCTGTTAGACATCAGGTACCGGACCCAACCGGACGGGACCGCAGTCGACGCAGGAGCTTTCATAGACGCAAACACGGGAGGCGGAAGGTAAGCTAGCACGGGTCACGGTACATTGTGACATGTGCCGTGGGGTGGGGGAGGGGAGTGATCAGGCATCAGTAGCTTCACACGTACCCAAAACTCCCTGCAAATCGACAAGGAGAAAGAGAAGCACCGCAGAGAAACGGGCAAGGCACACGCGCGCAGTATACGGAGGAGGGGACAGGGCAGAGGGACGAAGGCCTGGCGTTCCCAGTCGCCGCCTGCCACGGAACCACAGACCCCGGGCCAAGGGGTCAGCACCTTCTGATGCCAAGATACACTCATCGGCAGGACACGACAGTTCTGTCTGCGATTAGGTATCCAAACAGAGAGATGCTGTCACCAAGAGATGCTGGTTGGGAGAATGGACTGGAGCGGAAAATGGGGCGAAGGGGCAGGAAAAGTCAAACCAGGGCCGCCTTTGCCCAGGTAGGTGATAACCCGGCATGTTAACTCCTTCACCCGGGCAGAGGGTCAAAGACGTGGGGAGGAAGGGCGGTGGGGGGAGACTGAGGCCTGAGAGGAGAGAAGGAGCCGGAAGGCGCTCTGTCCTCCGGGGCGAGCACGGCATCCTTCACAAAGGAGCCAGGCCGACGCAGTCAGTCCTCTCACCAAACATGAGGAACACGGTGGCACAGGGCAGCCGGAGCATGGATTCCCAACGGCCGGGTCGCGGAAACCACCAGATTCAGGGGTACTTGGGGTGAGCTCAGATTTACCGTCTCGTAAAGACGGCGGGGAGGCAACATCCAACGTGGGGACGGTACGAGCCCAGCAGAGCACGGACTCGCGGGGTGAGAATTAACTTCGAAAACCCAAAGCCACCCTCCCCGGGCTGGGCGGCTGTGCCGGGAGGTGGGTCATTTTCAGAGAATAGTTTATGAAGTGGAAAAGCAAACCACGGATTAGGGGGAAAGCCCGAGGTGGAGGGGCGTCAGGGCCAAGTGAGGGGGGCTCAGCCTGCATGGCCTCGGGCACGGGGGTGAGTGCTCTGTGGGTGCCTCCGGCTCCTGGGCCCCCGTCCATCCGTGCCCAGCACCGATCTCACAGGCCAACACGCTCCTTCCTCTGCTTCAGATCTGATCAGACATGGGGGGTCACTGAGGACATGAGAACAAACACTCCCAGGAGGGTGTTCCCGTCATTCTGCTGAGCCAAGAGTAACAGAGGTCCCTGTGCTGATGGCAGGAGCTGCGCTCACCTTGAACCCTGTCCAAAGCCAAGGATGACTAGGTCCCTGTGTGCTCAACAGGCACGGAGGAGTGCAGGTGTCCAGAGGGACCCAGGGGTTCGCTGAGGGCTGTACAGGCAGTGCCTGGCCAAAGGGTACCTGTGTTTGCACGGAGGCCACTCCCTGGGGGCTTGACAATGGCACGAAATGAGCCCCACAGCAAAGCCCGCAGAGCCCCAAGGACGACGCGGTCCCTGTTAATGTCTTATCCACGCGAGCCCTGAACCACCAATCGATCACTAGGCTCAACCCCCAAACTCTGAGCCCACCGGACGCCCAGGAAGTCATGTGTCCCTCCAAAGTGGAGCCGACTGCCAGCAGGAGCCAGGACGCAGCCCTCACGCCAGCCATGGTCACCTGCTCTCCCGCCACCTCTGGGTTTCCAGGAACCAGATAGTGCTTCAGTTGCAGGGGAAGGTGACAGGGCCTCCCCCGGCCTGCGCTGGGGGGGGGGGGGGGGGGGGGGGGGGGGGGGCTGGGAAACCACACGAAGGAGCCCCACTCAAAAGGCAGGCCTCAGAGGCAGCTCCTAGAGGCAAGCCCACGTCCAGGACAGACCGCACATTTTGTATAACAATGGGGACGATGAGAAAGCCCTTTGAGGGTGTCTCCCATGTTCTCTATGTGTGTGGGCCCCACGTGGCACTGAGCCTCATCCACAGTCTGGATACTGTAGGCGTATCCAATTGCATGCACATTCACTATGGAAACTTCATTTAAAATAAAAACAGTCAGGGGTGCCTGGGTGGCTCAGTCGGTTAAGCGCCCGACTTCGGCTCAGGTCATGATCTCACGGTCCGTGAGTTCGAGCCCCGCGTCGGGCTCTGTGCTGACAGCTCAGAGCCTGGAGCCTGTTTCAGATTCTGTGTCTCCCTCTCTCTCTGCCCCTCCACTGTTCGTGCTCTGTCTCTCTCTGTCTCAAAAATAAATAAATGTTAAAAAAAATTTTAAATAAATAAAGTAAAAACAGTCATAATCACTTCCTAGAAAGTTATGGGTTTTTTTAATTTTTTTTTTATGGGGGTGGTCATAAAAGGTAATTAATCCAAGGGCGCCTGGGTGGCTCGTCGGGTTAAGCCTCCGACTCCTGATTTCTGCTCAGGTCCTGATATCGTGGTTTGTGGGATCGAGCCCCACATGGCACTGACATCAAGGAAGCTTCTTGGGATTCTCTCTCCCTCCTTCTATCTCTGCCTCTACTCTGTCCATTCTCCCTCATAAATAAATAAATAAATAAATAAATAAATAAATAAATAAATAAATAGCTTTTCAGAAATGCGAGTAATCTGAAAAGGAAGAGATTTACAAGTTTTTTTTAAAAAAGATTTTATTTGGGGAGGGGGGCCTCCTGGGTGGTTCAGCCAGTTAAGTGTCCGACTTCGGCTCAGGTTATGACTTCATGGTTCGTGGGTTTGAGCCCTGCATCGGGCTCTGTGCTGACAACTCAGAGCCTGGAGCCTGATTTGGATTCTGTGTCCCCCTCTCTCTGCTCCTTCCCCATTCACTCTCTCTCTCAAAAATAAGAACCATTGGAAAAAAAGATCTCTTTTTAAGTAGGCTCCACACCCAACATGGGGCTCAATCAAACTCATGACCCTGAGATCAAGAGTCACATCCTCTACCGACTGAGCCAGCCAGGCACCCCCCCTTGCTTTCGCAACTTCTTAAAAATCATTACCCAGTTCTTTATATTTGCGAAATTAATTTTGTAGGACCCATTTCTGCATTGAAAACGTGCCAGCTTACCTACTTACAATGAGATTTCGAAAAAGGGTACGAATTACTACCTGAGTGCCCCACGCCTTTTCCTACGGAGACTGTAACGGAGATTTTGTGATTTCACTTCATTCCTAGTTTGCGTTGTATTCCAAATGCTTATTTTTATCTGACACCTCCTGGACGTGAAGTTTCTTTGTTTTCCTAACATCATAGTTTGTCGTGGGATCTCATATGGGGATGAGCAGGGATACCCTACTTTGGAAAGGTGTGGGAGCCCAAGGGGCAAGGATTACCCTCCCCTTCTCCCCCTCCTCCCCCTCCTCCTCCTCATCACCATCACCATCACCATCATCATCATGATCAACTTCATCAACATCAAATGGCCAGCTTGGGCACAGCTGAGGCCAGACGCCCCCTCACCACCACGGCTGGGTTTCAGAACCGTGAGTCGACACATCTCATGGAACTCACCCTTGAGGACGGGCCTCTCACCAATGTTCCGGATGCTATAAGCAGCACTGGACAGGGATACCTCCGGAATGAGCTCTGCGAGCAGGTACCCAGAATACCAGGCGCATATGGACGCGAAGAGGAAGAACACAGCCTTCAGAGTGCCTGGGGACAGACAAGACACAGTGGTGGATGCCCGGGGAACAGGTGCCATCCTAGCCCCCTTCCTGCACCACGTCTGCAGGGCGCTCTGAGGAGAAATTACTCCTGGGTAAGCAGGAGCCAGGTCAGGCCCATGGCTGCCTCGATGAAACCATGATGGCTTCGCAGGTGCTGCTAAGACTAAGCATTTGTCGCCATAGCAGCGAAAGATGCAAACAAGTTAGGGATGTTTTCTACGCCCATTTTTTATATTTGCGGTCGGTCTGGGTCTCAGCTTCCTCAAATGCTAACATCAACGATTCATTAGTGGCCTGCAGACTGAAAATCCCAGAGGGCGGGGACTTTGTTTGGTTTATGCTGAGAACAGCACCGGGAGCCCTGTGAAGATGCACCCTGAGAACAGCACCTGGAGTCCCTGTAACACTGGGAACAGCCACCAAGCCTGTCATTATCATCACAGACAAGTTGGCGGCAAAACCTAGGTCTGGCAGAAGCAGAAAGTCCCTGGAGGGAGTCTTTCTGGTTGACTGGCTCTGGTACCTTCCTCCCACTTTTTTCTAATGTTTTATTATTTATTCTTGAGAGAGACAGAATGCGAGCAGGGGCGGGGCAGAGCGAGAGGGAGACACAGGCTCCAGGCTCTGAGCCGTCAGCACAGAGCCTGACGCGGGGCTCAAACCTGCCAACGGTGAGATCGTGACTTGAACAGAAGTCAGCCGCTCAACCAACTGAGCCACCCAGGCACCCCAATTGAAAAAAAAAAAGGCATCACCCACTCTTAGGTCAGGGGAAGCCTAGGGGGTCAACTCCTCATCCCTTCACAGACAACCTGCCACCAATCCTTTCTGATTTCAGCCCCCAAATATCTCAAAGATCAGGACTCAGTTCAGGATCGCCCACAGTGCCAAGATGCAGGCCCAGCATACAAAGGCAGCACGAATTTCCGATCAGCGTTTAACTATGTGTTAATGGGTCCAGTCCTAAGAATTAAGAAAAAGCAGGACGGGGGAGGGAGGAGAGGAGAAAGAAAAGAAGGTGGAAAAAGAAAAAGGGGAAGGGAAGGGACCCCCCCCCCCCCCCCCCCCCCCCCCCCCCCCCCCCGCCTGGCCCCACCATGTTCTGGCTGCCTCACATCTGCACCCACTCAGGCCAAGCACCTAGAAATAACTGTCCCCTCCCACAGCCTCCAGGCCTCACCTCCCACAGGTGGCTCAGGACGGCTGTGCTGGTCGAGGCCTCCCAAGTCCTCCATGCTGCCAGCGCCCTGTCCCTGGACGGCAGACTCCCCTGTGCATGGCCTCCCCGGACGACCCTGACAGGGCTCCCACTTTGTGGGCACGGCTGGCCTTCTCTGCCGGCTCTCCCTCCCAGGGCGCAGCCCGGGCCTCTCCTCAGGACCCCGGGGCCGGCTCACCCAGACGATCCTCTGAGTTCCTGGCAGGGGCGCCCCACCGCGGACCTGCGGTCAGCACCCTGGGATGTCTAGGCTGCACATTTGGCACGTTCCGGAAAACCCTTCCTCCTCCCTGGCCCCCAGGTCTGCTCCTGACCTGCCTGCGGCCCATCTCAGTGCATGGAGGGGTCGGGTGCCAGGCAGCTGGGACCCTTCCTTCGGGGCACGCTTCCCTGCCCAGCCCTGATGGAATCCATCGGCCAGTCTCCATGGGTTTACCTCCACCATTAATCTCACCTCCCCGGACTTCTCTGCCTCTCTCTAGCCTCCCCCTCCCCAGGCCACGACCATCCTAAATCCTCCCTCCCGCTGACAGGGAGAGAAAAGCCCACACCCGCCTGGGCTCCCAGATGACGTGTCCATTTATCACATGGAGTACGATAAAGATTTTGGTCTTTGTCCCTGTCCCTGGCAAGAGATCCTAAAACCCTTGCTATCTCTTGTCTCTTACGAGTGTCTGCGGTGTTCATAAAGGAGCCCCGTTCAACCACACCTGAGCCCGTGCTAAGGAGGTGACGAGGGGGGAGGGGAGGTCCTTAGGTAGCTTTCAGGGAGGGGCTGGCCCAGCATGTGCCCGGAAGGCTGGCGCTTCCAGCCCTGCCCCCGACCTCCAGGAGAGGAAAGGGAAGGGAGTCCCGCCTGGGTCACGTGGTCATGTAACCGAGGCATAATAAGATCCAAGAACTCTGGACTCCCGAACCTTGAAGGTGGGTCCCTTCCTGTAGCAAACATTCGGGTGTGTGAGGACGGTAATGTGCCATCAGCCCACGGGGCAAAGGCCCAGAACTCCGAGGCCGGGGCCCTCCCAGCCTACCCCCCCCGAAGCCTCCTCATTCGGTTGGTCCTCCCGATCCACGGGTTGTCCACTGGGGATGTTAACTCGAGCCGGTGTGTGTTTGTGCGTGGGGGCGGCTCCTGAGCGCAGGGGGTCGTGCTGATGGGACAGGATGGGAGGCTTCGGTTTGACTGCGATGAGTCAGTCTTTTTCAAGTGTGACCTTCGACGTCAACGCCCTCCTTCCATTCTGCAAACCCCGCGGTCCCGAAGGTTGCTAGAAGGTTCTGCGGGGATGGCTTCTGTTGTGAAGCACCTGGGGCAGTTGTGACCACCGCCATTTGCAAGACTGAAGGGACCCCTCAAAGCTGGAAAAACCAGCCACAGGTGTGGCCGACCCTGTTCCTGCAACTCCTGGGTTTGCTCTGTACCGGGTCACGCGATTCACGGGCCCTCTCCTGTCTCACACGTTTGTATGAGTTTGTCCCTCCGACTACAGGGTGCTCTCCTCCATGACCCCCAGCCTTCTCTCTCTCTCTCTCTTCAAGTCCCCCCCCCGACCTCAGTGCGGCCTGCCACACACCCTCATACCAGCCCTTGACGTGCCCTGCCAGCATTGCACACCAAGGTCCTCCAGGAGAGTGCACGGGCCATGGGCCACGTATGTTCCAGAATATTCCGTTGGATGCACACCGAGTGAACAGTGCGGTAGGACTGCTGGAAATACGGAGTCAGCGTTAACGGTGTCGGGTTCAAAGCAACAATAGTCCACTGTGTCCTGTGTGTGTGTGTGTGTGTGTGTGTGTGTGTGTGTGTGTGAGAGAGAGAGAGAGAGAGAGAGAGAGAGAGATCACGGCCGGGCTATTTTATCCAAGTGTCACATTTAAAGAAGAAAACTGGCAACAAGAGATTCTTCTCAGGATCTTCCAGGCGCCACGTCCCGTGTGAGATCTCGGAGCAGAGGTGCCGTTTAGCTTGGAGAATTCTGGAATGGAACATGATGCTACCTTCCAAATGTGGAAAGGACAGCGACAGGGGAGGGAGACGTGATTTCATCCCCAGCCGAACAAGGACAAATGAATGGAAGTGACGGGGAAGAAAATAAGGAACAAATAAGGAGCCCGTGCGTCCTCGTAAGCAAGAGTATAAACCGTGGCCGGCCTGCCTTGCAAGGCAATGAGCTCCCGACCCTGGACATTTTTCCAGGGCTCCTCAGAAGGCTATGGAGTGGGTGTGCTTCAGGTGAGGGGCGAGCCAGTGACCTTGCGGGTTTCTGGGGTTGGCTGAGAGAAGCCGAGAGCTGGAGCCAGAACCACCTGACGGCAGGAGGGGAGACCGGACAGCACAGGCCGGGGCCAGTCCACCGTGAGACCTAGGCGGCAGGTGCCGGGGATGAGCTAGACCATCAGCCAGTGCACAGGCCGGTCACAGTCACAGAAGCATCCCGGCTGGCAGGGGAAAGCAGGCCCGGGAGCCTGGACAATGTCCAGACAAGCTGAGGCACTTGCATCAGGAGCTCTGTCCCTGGGGTGAGTGGAGAGCAGATGGGACACGGGGCAGTTTGTGGCGACAGCCTCAGACCCTGGGCAGCAGAGAAGAATCCAGAGCCTCAGCAGGGCACAGGTGAGGACTCATCTTGGGAAAGGTGGGAGCCAGACCTCAGCTAAGACGGCTCCCTGGACCTGCGTGGGAGAGGATCCAGCAGCTTCCGAGGAGGTGGGGGGGATGGGGAGGAAGTATGCAGAGTTCAGGAACCTTCTGTGACCCTGTAACCAGGATCCGGCCTCTTCTTGTGACGTAATGAAGTCCTCGGTGGCTGACAGATACGTATCCTATGTGCTTCCGTGTGGCAGGCATCACATGTGAGGGCTAGAGCGAAGGTCAGTTCTAAGCACAGATAGGGAGTCAGTGAAACTCCTCTCCAGACACTCTCGATCACTGTGTACGCCTGCCTCTGTGTGTGTGTCCTGCCCTCATCGGCGCCTGCAGATTCTCGGGGTCTCAGGCCGGCCCCGGCCCCTTCACTTACGCTGCAGAAGACAGCAGTCCCAGAGTTCACGCTAAGCCAGGCTGGAGGCAGGTGGCTCTCAGGGCTCCCCCTACCCCTCCAACCCAGGGGGGGGCCCTGAAGAAGGCAATTCTGAGCCCGTAAGAACACACCTTCTCTGGTGGGACTTCTTCAACGTGAAGTAGGACGAGGAAGCTGTCTCGCCGACACGAACGCAAACCCCCGTCACCCTGGAGGCGGCCACACCTGCCCCTCTTGTCCCCGGTGGGGGCCGAGCAGGCTGGTGTGGCTGAGCCCTATTCATCCTGCTCGGGACTTGGCTGCTGTGTGGCTCCAGGCTCAGCCAGCCTCAGCGTCCACAGTTGTCGCTGTCCTGTTGACTGGGGCTTGGGGGCAGAGAGACTGGCAGGTATGACACCCGAACACCACAGTAGGTTTGGAAGGTAACCTGCCTTGTAAGGTTCGCACACCAACGCCCTAGCTCTACGGAGTTAGGACAACCACCACCCAGCAGCTGTCCCACGGGCGAAGGGCGGTGCTGGCTTAACTCACTTCACCCATTCGATCTGAAAATGTCCTTCCTGTGAACTTTCTGCCTGGGACAGACCCAGGGCTGGACTGAAGTAGCAAGGAAAATGTCACTTCCAAGAACGTTGCCAAATCCTTAGCTCACAAAGTCCAGAGCAACACGGTTCTGAGTTACCGCAGGTGACCTTCTCTCATAACCACACACATCCATATAAATACAAATCTGGTGCCGTGTCAGAGCCTTGTGTGAAAGGACCACATGATTCGTGCAATGACTCATAGGGTTATG